AGACAACATCTGAGAACTGGTCTGCGCTCTTTAATTTTAGATGGGACAAGGCAGAAGGTGAATGTCGTTTTAAATGCAACTGTCTTGCTTGTTGTCCTGATGCTCTAGGAGTTCATTATGGGGGAGGGTGAGTTGATAAGGCAGTTGGAAATCCAGAGAGGAAGAGACATTGAACTGCCAGTAGAATTTAGGCTGAAAATCAGATGGTTTTTCCTCCTTATTTACACTTCTGCTACTCCATGGAGCTAATCTCATCTATAGAGGGCCTGAGTGAAAGGGGAGCCAGGAGTTCAGTGCTTTTAACGGCAGCTGTTGGAACTGTTGCTACATTTTGCATGTGTGGAGGGTGAATGGCCATCCTTCCACGTCTCACTTGGCTTCTCATTTGTGTGTGTGTGCGTTGCCTGCCTTGCATAGCTGGATACATCCCTTCTTTCCTTTGTTGAGTCCCTCTTGGCAACTGCGAAGGACCATCCTAGGATGTCCATGGTTTTGGGCAACCCTCTATCTTTTATTGTAATGACCATGGATTATGTACCTACAGGAGAAGCTGTGCCTGAAGATGAACAGATCAGCGCGAAGGACCAGAAGAACCTGGAGCCTTGTGATAACACCCCAATTATTGACAACATCACACCGGTTGTTGCCAGCATCTCAACGGAGGAGAAGCAGAAGTATGATGAGGAGATTGCCAGTCTCTACAGACAGCTGGATGATAAGGTGTGAACGTTTGGTTTGACTCCGTTTGCTGGGTATAAATGGAAAACTAAGCCAAAATGGGTGGGTGTCTCTCTGAATTTCTTGAGCATCGTGAACTGGAAAACATCCCAATGTTCAAAACACTGTCACTGCATAAAACCAGATCTTGTCGTATCATGTCAGCTGTCTGCCTCTGTTCCTTCCGCAGATAGTGTTTGGGGACGTTCTCCATGAAATCGGAGCCATGTTTGCCCTTAATTTTAAGGGCTCAATACAGGCTTTTCGGCACTCCTTTTCTTCAGTGATTTTTGTAAAATGCCTCAGCAAACTGTAACGTCATCTTGGAGTCACAGGAGAAAGAGGGAAAAAAAAAAAAGGGAGATTATATCTTAATATTTTTTATATATTTACTGTGTATTTGAATTTTAAGGAAAATATATAACCATCCCTTGGGTCTCTTTTGTTCATGTTGTTCTAACCGTGAACACTGCCTGGAGTGCAGGTGGCTATTTTATTTATGTATTTGCACAGCTTGAAATACATCACTGGCACTTAAAGCTATCAGCAATACATTTACTGAGCACTTGCCATTAATAGCTTTGGCTTGTGTGAAGATAAGAAATGGGGAAAAAAAGGCATGCTAAAACCATTGACCATTATGGATGAGAACAGCTTAAAAGGCTATCTAGCAAAAGTTTTCAGGGTAGCTTTAATCATGAATCAAACCTTAATTTTAACTTTCAATTGTAATTAGCAGGAAAATATCAGAAAAAAGTCCACTGTTTCCTTCATGTTTAATATGAAGTACTCCCAAGTACTTCCACCAGTACTCCCAAGTCCTTCTCCTCATGGATCGTGAGCAGCCCTGAGGAGAAGGACTTGGGAGGACTGGTGGACGAGAAGCTCAATATGAGCCGGCAATGTGCTCTTGCGGCCCAGAAGGCCAACCGCGTCCTGGGCTGCATCAAGAGGAGCGTGGCCAGCAGGTCAAGGGAGGTGATTCTCCCCCTCTACTCTGCCCTCGTGAGACCTCACTTGGAGTATTGCGTCCAGTTCTGGAGTCCCCAACATAAGAAGGACATGGACCAGTTGGAGAGGGTCCAGAGGAGGGCCACGAAGATGATAAGAGGGCTGGAGCACCTTTCCTATGAGGACAGGCTGAAAGAGTTGGGGCTGTTCAGCCTGGAGAAGAGGAGGCTCCGGGGTGACCTTATAGCGGTCTTCCAGTACCTCAAGGGGGCCTACAAGAAAGATGGGGAGAGGCTGTTCAGGAGGGCCAGTTGTGATAGGACAAGGGGTAATGGTTTTAAAATAGAGGGAGGTAGATTCAGGTTGGATATTAGGAAAAAATTTTTTACCATGAGAGTTGTAGAACACTGGAACAGGTTGCCCAGAGAGGTGGTGGATGCTCCATCCCTGGAGACGTTCAAGGCCCGGTTGGATGAGGCCCTGAGCAACCTGATCTAGTTGGAGATATCCCTGTTCCTTGCAGGGGGGTTGGACTAGATGACCTTTGAAGGTCCCTTCCAGCCCTAACGATTCTATGATTCTATGATTCTAATATTAAAGTTTGGCTGTTTCTGAATACCGAGAGAGGGAATGGATAGTTGTCTCTCTGCACAGTCCTGTTGCATGGCATTCAAAATAGTTTAAAAAAAATAGTTAAAAAAACATTTAAAAGAAGTTTAAGAAATTTCAGCTTT